CGTGCACGTGGCCGCGTAATACGCGACGAGAGTTCTTGCGTGATCCGACGTCTCCTCGACGCGCGTCTCGACCAACGACTCGGCGGCTGCACTGCTCAAAGGCACCGGTGACTATTCGAGAAATTTCTCCTACCTACCTACGTCATGGGATGAAATAGTAGCCTGAAATATAGAATTTTAGGTTCGGAAAATTTGCGTTCACCAGGTCCTCGTATATTATATCGACAGATATGTTTATCGTCCAACGGTTCTTACTAACATTAAGATTCATGCATCTGGAAGGCGTTAGGCGTCTTGCATTTTCACCTCGACCTCGTTCCTCTCGCTTTAGACACGTTGACGTCGTCACCAAGATTATTTAACCCTTTGCACTCGAGAGGCTACTTTCCGTCACCACAACGTTCCGCGTGGCAACTCGAGAGGAGAATGAGAGACGATAGTCCCTGTTTATGCTAAATTTCGACCTCTCCGATTGACGAGAGCGCAGTATTGGTTGGTAAATAGATTCCTTAGCTCTTTATATCGTTTGTTATGGAGTGTGAGGTATTACACTTTCAAATGGAGATGAAATATTTATGCCCAAATTCTTCCGAATCTATGGTTTTGCCAACGTCTGCGACGTTAGATTCGACGGTCGTGGCACAAGTATTACAGTTTCGTAAATTTAGAAGCTCTAAAGAAATGGATTTGGAAATTTGTTTAATTAATTCATATATTTTGTATAAAAGCAAAAAAAACTTAACCACCACTTAACCACCTGCGATTTATAAAAACTTTAGTAAACCGGATGAGAGGAGATATTCGACAACCGCGAGATCGAGCTTCCACGCCGACTGCTAATTATGATGAAATTCGGTTAAATGGGAAGCTGCGTGTAATTTTAACAGGAACAAAAAAGTATTGTAAGGTGTGTTCTTATCGAAACAAACCAAGAGAAAGACACGAAACAACTTATTATTGCGATACTTGTGCCAACAAGCTTGACAGATGTTTTATAAATTATCGTAAAAAAATACAGAAGAAATATTAAAAAATTATATGTTCAATGATGTAAATATATATGGATTATTAAAATGTAATGTGTTTTAGGTTAATTTTTGTATAAAATCATTGTATGTTACCTACAAAACACTCTTCACAGACGCGCAAAGTCACCTCGAGTTGTTGCTACGCCCGATCGAAAAGGCCGTCGAGTGCAAAAGGTTACCGAGCTAAAGAGTTCACCGATATGTTCAATTTTTCTGATTCAGTGTCTCATTTTAAATGTTTATATTATACATACTTGTAACATATATGCAAGTCGTGCCTCTAACCCAATTTTCTCAGCTATGTATACCTAAAGGGCCCGTTGACGATAAATAAATAAATAAATAATAATAATACATATTAGATAATGCTATTCGGAGTAATACCGACGGCGGGTGAGGAGGCGGCGAAGACAGAGAAGGTGCGTGGAAATCCGCCGTTCTAGACACGAGTTTCTTACCGCGGAAAGACAAAGCGGAGGTATTCGCCGGAGGTGTTCCGATTAATCTTTCAAGCCGCGATCGATTGCTCCTCGACGCGGACGCACCGTATATCTGGGCATCGTCGATCGTTTAAGAGCCATTTAGAAGTAAAGCATGGCACGAAAAATAGACGCGAGGCGGAACGCGTTTCGCTGTTAGAAACGGCGTGACAATTTCGTAACTACCGATGTCGTAGCTTTGGCAATCGACGTATATCCTATGAAAGCGTGTGGCTGTCGGATAAAATCGGCTCCTAACGCCGGAACACACGCGTCCGGTCGGTTTTGTTTTCTTCCTCCCTCCTCGCCCTCTCCCCCGAATCGAGCTTCCAATTCGTCGAACGAAGAAAATCAATGGCACGTTCCTTTGTCCGGTCGCGTCCACCCACTCTCGGCATTCGTTTCGAGTAATCGGTTCCGTACTTACTCACGGCAGCGTTTATAAAGCTCGGTGCTCGACTCGTAGCCGCTATTCGTCGCGCTGGATGTCGCGTTTGCGAAAGAGGATGCTGACAACGAGCGAGATAGCCGGACCGGTTAAAGCGGTCCTCTGTTCGAGAAACGAGCGACCCATCCCGGTACGGATGACGGTTTAACAAAGCTCTTGGCCGTCGCTTTGTCTCCGTTCCGAGAGAGAACTTCACCGTATGGTGGACCGTATGCGTGGATAATTATTTGCGGAATTCCGCGAGGAAAATGAAATTTCATAATTATTCCCGGAAATGCGGCTGGTGACGGTCTTTAGAGTTGGTGCGGCCAAGCACGGGAGATGGATCGCCATGGAAATGAAAATCGCTTTAATAACGCCATTTTCGCCTAACTATAATCCACCGTTACGAACTGTTTGCGTTTTCGCCGTGTACTTTCCGTTCCGATCTTCGTCGATGCGTCGACGCGCGCCCTCGTCATTTACCGACCGGATAAAACGTCGATCGAGCGATTCCGTTAAACGGAACAGACGCCGCAGGTGGAAACGTCGGATCACGAGGAAAGTTGCGTTAATCTCGTTGGCGCTCGAGGCACGCGCGTTCGAAAGCTTCTTCCGCTTGGAAATCGAGCATCCGTCGAGGCACCGCTACGGAGTTTCGGCTTTGAGCTGCGCAGCGAAACTCGCGTTTCCAACCGAGTTTTGGTTTACCGGGTTGGGAGTTGCGGTGGCTTAAGCGAAATTCGCGAGTAAATCGGGAAATTAAATCGTAAATTACGAAATACGTACTTCGATTACGTTCTTGGATTTTCGTGGTTTTGGCCCTCGAGAACCTGCAACGTGAAAACTTGGACGCTAGAGCGATTTCACGAGCTCGATATATCGCCGCAGACACGCTACCGTAACGAACTCGAAAAGTTCCCGACTGCCACCGCGCAGAAGAAAACTCGGCGAACGATGCGATGCGGGGGCTCTTCGGAAACTTGCCGCGTTTAACGGACGAACAAAACGAGTCTCTCGCTTTGTCAATTTTCGAACACGACGTTTTTCCTAGCGTTCCGAAACTCAGACGAATTCTCGCGCATATGGAAGTTGCGCTGTTCGATAACGAAACGGAACGAGGCTCCCGGACGTAGACTCGAATCTCGCAAGGTAGCTAGAGGGTGCAACGTAAATGGATATTTCAGTGAGTTTAAGTAAATATCGATCGTCAGATTCAGGGTTAAAATTCGTTTAAGGCTACGGTTACATGGCACGCGTATTTGGACGATGCGTAGTTCGTCGTCGGATCGGACGTCCTATGTCGTTCGTATACGCAGCTCGTTTAAATCGTTCGACTTGCGACTGAGGTGTCCTTCGATCCTTCGAACGAACGACGATTTTTTGCTAAGTGTTTCTTTAGTCCTATCTGCGTGGAACATAAAGAAAAGACGCGGGATTTATCCGGAAATGCTCTCGGATTTTTCTGGTCGATTCATCAGATCTTGAAACAAAGTAGAGATACGATATTCTCTATTTTTCTCTTTTAAAGAAAGCATTTTCTTCTCTCGTGTCAATCTATTATTTGTTGGCGCAGTTTTTAATAAAGGATTGTGCAAGAAATAGGAAGAATATGTTGAATGATCGGTATCCACGTATCTTGCAAGGATACGTGCAGATATAATATTTTTCATTTTAACAAAGTAAATTCAAGGTACGCTTGTTTCAACCCGTTGTACACCGTATTCTTAATTGTGCCAATTGCTACGTTGACTGCCTGCACTTTTTTGCCACGAATAGCTCTCTTTGTTGAATTACCTTGTGTACAGATGGTGGTTTGATATCGCTTTTGTACTTTTATGTTATGTTCATACGATCGCTACGTTGTGTATATCGTAATCGAACTGTGACCCGTTATAATAAATAATATTTTAATAAATTTACTTTTCCGCATATTGCATCTTTGTACCAAATTATTTACGTCAATAATAACGTGTATTAATAATAATAATAATAATAATAATAATAATAATATTATTATTAAATGACATTATTTGATTTGTGCCCTTTGCGAGCTATTCGTGGACTTGCTGTGTCGGCCACTTTCCTTTAATGATCATTATCTGCAAGTTGTTTCAATAGGAAACGAGGCTGTAAAAGCATTATCCTTAGATCTAATTTCTCGTTTGAAGAATCCTTACACTCTGCTAAAGTTGTACGTCTCGTTGGTGTTACCCCATGTAGAATATGCCTCTTGGCGTCATTACCACCTAATGACAAAATCCGCAATCACTTAGTTGCCAACCCAATAGTAATAAGAAATGTAAATCTAGTAAAAAGAAAGAATTAGAGAAGGTGGCTTCTTACGAAACCCCAGCTACAAATATCCTCTTGCAAATGATGATCGTGATTGTGTCCCAATTACGACTACTTTCGATATAAAACCTTCGAAGCAGCGTAAGACTATTAGTGAACTTTTCCTCCTTCGCAATATTATAAATAATAAAATCGATAGCTCGCGTTTGTAAGACTTGGCCAACTTTAACGTGCCCATATTTCATGCGCCAGTTTTTAAGCCGAAATTCGGTCACACTAACAAGTTTATGACTGGCAAGTACGTGGCTCGAGTAGACTTATTCTTCGATCTCCTACTATGATGGAAGAAAATCCCATTAAACATACGAGTAGCTTAAAGTTATCATCCTAAGCAATTGTACTTACATGTCTGTGTGTATTCTTGTTTAAACTTTGTATAGCAGCATACTTGGTATTGTTTCCTTTTTGCCGTCGATATCATTTTAAATAAATGTACGAGTAAATAAAATTAAATTAATTATTAAATCCACGTCTATCTCGTAAAATACAGAAATGGTACGTAACCGTAATCCAAATTCCAATCCAATTTTTTACCACATACAGATGCAGATTGGCCGCGCGACACGTGTCTGCGGACAATCGTCTGTCAGCGCGGATTCGGCTTAAGACGTTGAACGAAAAACACGGTAACGGCGAAAATTCCTCGTATCCGCGAGGCAGTTGGTTTCTAAATATTTTTTACCTTACAATCGATCGGGTTGCTTTTTTCAGGGGAAAAGTCTGGCGGATATACCGGGAAACCATTGCCAACGTACAGGCCGGCCTCGCAATTGGTTCCCCTGGGAGGAGCGGCGAGATTATTTTGCGAGGCATACCTGGGAAAGGTCGAGCTTCCGGACGCGAAAAATTCGGTAACCTGGTCGAAGAGCGACAGCAACGTCACGTTACCGAGTCACGGCAGGATCGCCCAGCATAGCGTGTCCAGGTGAGTCCGTTTCCGATTCGTCCCTTTGAGACCTGGCGTCCACTTATCGCGTATTCTACAGGAAGGTTTCCATCTAAACGTCTCTCGCACACCATGTCACGATCATACGACGTTGTTAATCGATTCGTGTGCGCATTCCGTGGAAACGATGCCGAACGTTAAGACGGACGCTACGAATAATCGCGACATGTATCTGGTCAACCTCGGTCAACGAAGTGGAAGCTCGTTGGACGAACAGTACGCTCCTGGTTATAAGTCAGCGGACAGTTTCTCATGCTCGGCAAAATGATTATTTGAAAATAGACACGATTTTCTGGATTAATTTTATTCTTTATCTACGAGTGAGATATTCGACCGAATTAAAACACGCATGATTTTGTACCTTAAAATAATCTATTATACAAGGTGGGCCTCGCTTTGCTGATTGTACATCTAAAAACGTTCGTGCAAATATAATATGTTCTGCTTGTCTAGTCTGTTTATGAGATATAACGAATTTTGTAGATGCAACACCTATCGAAAATGTTGAAACGAGTTCATTAACAAATTCGGAAAACACCAAGAACCGTCAAAAGTGTAGCCGGATACGTGACAAGCCATCTACAGACTTGCCTTGAAAATATTCTGCGAAGGTAATTAGGTAATGCAAGATCGAAACAGAAAATTCGTTAGATGTCATAAACGAAGACAGATAGAACGTACGTTTACGTGAACGTTTTTTACCGTTTTTAAGTACGTGGTTCGCATTCGAAATGGATCTCAGTGTTCCTTTACAAGGCTGTCTATATATTACGAAATAGAGTATAGCATTTACGCGAATGTGTAGAAATTACGTAATATCAAAAGTATGGTACGTTCTAAGAAATATTTTGTCGAAAGTAGGCAAACTGTCGGCGACTTATGGACACTAGGCGTATGTATTGGGTTGTCCGAAAAGTTTCTTTCGTTTTATAAGGAAATAATAGACGCACAATGTTTTTTGTTTTATATTAGTTTATTGAATTATGCATGAACATAATGATAGAAATAGGACGAAATGGAGCACATCTAATTCGATAAAATAATATAAAACAGGAATTGTTGTTCATCTATTATCACCTTATGAAACGAAAGAAACTTTTCGGACAAGCTAATAGTTTGGACGGCGCGTTGCTGCCAAATTTGGCTGGTTTCATACGGGCTACGACGAGCAGCTTCCATCGAAATCGAAAGGTCGATCGATAAGGGTTGGAGCGCGTTCGATGGACAAGAGCGCTTGATATCAAACTGTTAATTAAGCGGCACTTGCAAGGGAGTATCGGAATTTGGCTTTGATCCGAGGCGAATATCCTGCTTGCAGGAAGCACGCTCGCCGCCTGAATCGCGTACGCTCCAGGATCGGTTAATAGAAGCGTGGCTAACGAGAGATACGTAATGAAATACCCGTGGTCATTATCGCCGGAAATACGGATTTCCCGCTTCCTCTTTACTGATTGCAAAAGGAGGGGTCAGAGGTTGCACGGAGAACTTCACCGCACTGAAGAACGGTCGATCGAATCGCATCTGGGTTACGTTTCAGGATTTAAAACGCGCATCACTCGGTCGAATAATGTTCCGTAACACGACCCAGTCATTACACGCTCGTCCATTTCATCATCCACAATAACCTTTTGAGAATAGAAATTTTCTTTTTTGCCAGTTTTATTTCTCTGTCTACGCTTTTCATAACACATTCGCTCGGGCCAGCAATAATCTCCAAAGAGTCGTTACTGCCTTGTCGAGAATTAATCTTTATTTCCACTAAATGGGGATGGTTAGTTCTCATCTTGTCTACCAGTTTTTCCTATAAATTAACAGCGGTGACTGCTGCCCTTGCTTCTTTACCGAAAATCTCAACTGACGAGTCCACTTGTCCCGTGTCCTACGCACGCCCATCTCAAGTTTTTGCTTTTCCCACACACAGTAAAACGACGCAGTTCCGCGTGAACTTGACATTTATACGCACGTTCAGTCTTCGAAGGTGTTCTTTGTGAAATATACAGGATGGTTGGTAACTGGTGGTACAAGCGGAAACGGGGTGATTCTACGCGAAAAAAGAAGTCGAAAATTTAGAATAAAAATTTTTCGTTCGAGGCTTTGTTTTCGAGAAAATCGACTCTGAATTTTCGCTCGATATGCGTGCACTCTTTCACGTCTCGTTATAACGGATCTCACTGTAGATCGTTGTTTCGATGGAAAAATTGAAAAAAAAAGATGTTTATTCTATATTTTTGACTTATTTTTTCGCGCAGAATCACCCCCTTTCCGATTGTACCAACAGTTATCAACCACCCTGTATAATTATATTTAAAATTTAACCCTTTGCACTCGACGGCCTTTTCAGTTGGGCGTAGCAGCAACTCGAAATGATTTTGCGCGTCTGTGACGAGTGTTTTGTAGGTAACATACAATGATTTTATACAAAAATTAACTTAAAAACACATTACATTTTAATAATCCATATATTTTTACATCTCTGAACATATAATTTTTTAATATTTGTTCTGTATTTTTTTACGATAATTTATAAAACATCTGTCAAGCTTGTTGGCACAAGTATCGCAATAATAAGTTGTTTCGTGTCTTTCTCCTGCTTTGTTTCGGTAAGAACACACCTTACAATACTTTTTTGTTCCTGTTAAAATTACACGCAGCTTTCCATTTAACCGAATTTCATCATAATTAGCAGTCGGCGTGGAAGCTCGATCTCGCGGTTGTCGAATATCTCCTCTTATCCGGTCTACTAAAGTTTTTATAAATCGCAGGTGGTTAAGTTTTGTTTGTTTTTATACAGAATGTATAAATTAATTAAACAAATTTCCAAATCCATTTCTTTAGAGCTTCTAAATTTACGAAACTGTAATACTTGTGCCACGACCGTCGAATCTAACGTCGCAGACGTTGGCAAAACCATAGATTCGGAAGAATTTGGGCATAAATATTTCATCTCCATTTGAAAGTGTAATACCTCACACTCCATAACAAACGATATAAAGAGCTAAGGAATCTATTTACCAACCAATACTGCGCTCTCGTCAATCGGAGAGGTCGAAATTTAGCATAAACAGGGACTATCGTCTCTCATTCTCCTCCCTCTCATTCTCCTCTCGAGTTGCCACACGAAACGCTGTGACGACGGAAAGTAGCCTCTCGAGTGCAAAAGGTTAAAAACCCAATGTCAGATTCTATTGAAATTGTTGAGGTTATTCGATGTGTAAACAGAGAAAACTCGTGGATAAATTGTAAGGCAGAAAATATATTTAAATAAAAGTGTAATTATAAGTAGAATACAATTTGAGCTGGTTCAGATCCGCGCGCTAGCTGTGTTACCCAATAACTGAACACCCCGAAGCCAACGTCGCCTGTCTGCTGTTTATGGTCTGACTTCGTCGCAGTCTTTTGTCTACGCGCTATCGATGCCTTCAGTGCTTGAGAAAAGTAAAAAGACCAGATGTGGAGTTTTCTTAGAAGTGATAACCACTTCAACAGAAATATCCCTATCATCTTAATGGAAATAGGGAATCTTTGGTGTCGATACTAATCGAGACGCAAACTTACGACATTCGTTGACGAGTCACAAAGCAGACGCGTCTGTCCGCAAACACAGTCGAACAAATAGCGCTTTTTGAAGCGAGTAGAAGAGAGAGCGTACGTCGTGTGCCGCGTGCCCGTACACGCAAAATCGTGAACGTGCAAACGATCAAATTAACCCGGTGAAATATCGTTCGTGCGAACGGAGACGGTTATCGCGTAATCGTCGCGTCGGCCGCTCCGTGGTGAAGCTCTAGCAGCCCCGCGCTATTCGTGGTTTCCGCGAATGCAGTTGGTTTCGCCTGCAACCTCGTATCTCGGGGGTACATTTGGAAATGGCGCGCTGCAAACTTGTCGTCCAATTAGCGACCGCGCGCCTGGTGTGCACCGATATAACGTGTGGCAGCTGAGTCGGGACACACCGAAACCCGTAACGACGACTCGTTTTCCCGTTTTACCAGCTCTGGTGCGTTTCGATGTTCGACGTATCATCGTGACAAGATGTTTTTGGTCGATCCGGCGCGTAAAAAGGAATCATCGTGGGGGGTACTTGTCGCGATCGAACACGCGCGTTTACTTTAACGTTAACTTTAATTGGTCTCGCCCTGGAACGTGCTCGGATAGCGGAGAATGATGGCGATACGGAGCGCGTCTGCGGAAATCGACGTTACGTAAACGCCATTCCGCGAACGCGCTTTCACTCGGCCGGGTGTTTCGTCGTGTCGCCGGTTCGCGTGACTGGCAAAGGAAGCTCGCACGATTTCCTTGCAAAACACTGGCTTGCATAAACGTCGGATCGGTCGACTTGCCACGATCACAGTACAAAAGCCGAGGCCAAGCGAATGAACGAAACGAAGAAAGTTTAGGATGGAAAGGCAGCCGGTTGCGCTCCAGAGAAGTCTCTCTCGCAGGGAGGATCGACGAGCGCGATCACTGGCCCGGTGGTTAGCCTTTTTGCCGTCTCCAGGCATTACACATATAGAGGTAATAACGTCGAGACAAACTCGGTAGAGTTCAGCTTGGGCTCGACGACCGCGAGAAACCAGACGAGGACGAAATCCGTTCTTGCACGCAAAGCGCGAGGAAGAAAGGACGTGGCAGGATGCGACGCGCGGCAAAGAGAGAGAGAAGCGAGGCAAGAAATTCCAAGGAATCTTGGCCTCTCTCCGCTTGCCGCCGCCCTTCCACGTCGCAGCAGCTCCGTCATTACGCTGATGATAGCCTGGCCTGTTACCTCGGTGAATCGGCCCCTTTTTCGTGTGTCCCCTCGCTGCTGCCACTGTTGCTGTGATAATGCCGATTCCTCCGATGGTTACAAGCCTCGCTCCACATAGCTCGCAACTCGACCACCGCTCGCGAAGGGGAAATGGAAAAACGTCGGCCCGTAATTGTCCGCGTCTGTCCGGGAACGCGTTCGGTCTGCAGTTCTTGTAAGGTTTTGCCGACTCGTC